CAGGCACTGAGATTCTCCTCCTAAGCACATTACTTATGCAGTAGCCTGCATTCTTCCCAAGAAGCTTCTGCACAAAAATAGAGACTGAGGTTAAATGACTTGCCTGCAGGCATAAAGTTACTACATCCTAGCACTCAGCCGGATTCATAACTGTTACTTAATAAATGTTTGTTAAGTGAGGACTGAATGACTGGATGCACAGTAAGTGGTATGGGTCTGTGATTCCAGAGCCCACACTTTTTCCACTACAGCAGATAGTCTCTCATTGATTACAGGTGAAAGATCTCCGTGGGGGTGTGGAGCCGTCAGCTCTGTTGCTTCTGGCTGTCTCTCCCCATTCTCCTACCTGAAGTTAACCCCTCAGGCATCTGAGCTCCAACAACGTAGAATCCCTGGTATTCGCAGCAACATATTTACCTTCTTGCTCCAGGCATTTCATAGCCCAGCCCAGTTAACTAAGCGTCTTTCTCATTTAGAGACTTAGAGGGAGATTGTCTGGTTCTTCCCAGTCCCTGAAATCCTTAAAGGAAAGGAGACAGGTTACCATTTTTGCCTCTGCCTCATTGCCACAAAGGAATCCCATCAAATATCTAACCCCAGTCCCAGTCCCTCCTGTTACTTCAGATTCTAAAACTGACTGGCTCCAGTTTTAGGCTCCTTGACTTGAGCATCTTGCTGATGTCACCCAAATATGGCAGGCTAACAGACTCGGTTCTGGCCTTTGAGAGGAGTGTGGATGAGTTTTATTGGCTCTCAGAAAAGACTATTGTGCTCATCCAGGCTCGCCCCTTACCCGGTGCCTGAATGCCGTGCAGATCCCCTACCCCCAAGCTTAATCTGTTTAAGCTGCTTGGGACCTGCTCCTTAGTGAACTCACCTATGATCAGGCTCCCTGTGACTCCTCCGGTCTAGGTTGGCCCTCTGAAGCCATTCCCTTTAAACATTGACTTTGCTGTCGCCTATAGAAAAGTCAACATCTTTTCATGGCAGACCAAGCTCAGTATCCCCCCACCCCACCCCACCCCCTCTGCTCTCTGCTCAGCCATCGGATCCCTCTGTTTGGGGGGCAGTTTCCCACAGATCTGGGTAGGGCCAGGAGGAGGACTCAGAAGGAAGTTTAAATCCAGAGGAAAGTTCTCCTTCTAGCAAGATTTCTGTTTTTCAGGAGCAGAGGGGAAGTTTCTTGAAGGATATACCCTTGAAAGTGTTTGTTGTTTAAAAGGCCTCCCTGTTGTTTAAAAGGCACCACTCAGACCTGACTGCGTTGGTCGTGGAGGACTGCATTCCCTAGCAATTCTAAGGCTCCGCCCTCCAGCAATAATGGTCAGTGGGAGCACAGGCAACCTCGAAACTAGAGGCCACGGTTTGAGAGGAAAGATATAGCTATCCAGTTCTTCTTTCAGTGGTTTCAATTTCTCTTCTGTACCCACAGTGTTGGGTGATGGTGGAAATATAGTCAGGTGTATGGGTTTAATTCCTCCAGTTCTCTCTTGATATTCTCAGACGCTGCTCCTTTTTACTTCTTCATTCAAACCTCTCAGTTAAGGAGGCCTCGGAGGGGGAGTGGGTTTCTGCTTAGGTCCCTGTTCACCCTCACCCCAGCCCTTTGAACAGAAACAGGGTATAGGAGTACACGTTGGTGGTTTCTCATCCCCTCTTTCTTCCTCCTTCATTTTATTTGATTGTTTCCCTTTTTAAAAATAATATTTGTTGATTCTTTCCCATTTACAACAGCAAGTGACGATCCATATAGAACACTTGGAGATGCAGAAAAGGTTCTCGAGGCTCCCGTCCTACCCCCTCTCTGCCCAAATCAAAATTATCCTTCCCATGAATAGAAAATCAGTATTCACCTTTTTGTTATGTCTTTTTTTTTAAATCAGTTCTCTCTCTCATATAATTTTTTAAAACTTTTTGTTAGGATGTTAGATTTACAGAAAAGTTGCGAAGATAAAAATTCTCATATACTTTTCAACCTGATGTTAACATCACCATAGCACAATTATCAGAACTAAGAAATACTGGCGGAGTACTATTCACTAAACTGCAGACTTAATTCAGTTTCCACCGGTTTTCACTAGTGTCTGTTTTCTGTTCCAAGACCCAGTCCAGGATATCACATTGTATTAGTACATATCTAATTTTTAAAAATGTATATTCCATTGTGATTACCATTTGTAGCTGGCTAATTTCATTGGTAATATATCATAAATATTTCCCCAATTAAAATTCTTCAGTCATCACCATTTTTAATGGCAGCACAATTTTCCATGATATAGATTTGCCATAATTTGCTTAGCCAATAGCTTATTATTCTGCATTTAAATTGTTTCTAATTTTTCACTACTATGAAGAATGATGAGATGAACACCTTGTGTATACTTTTGATGTACATATCTCTGATTATTTTGCCACAAGCGAAATCCCAGAAATGAGATTGCTGTATTCAGGGGACCCATCTGTCCCCCTCCTTCCAAAGTCCATAGCCAGAATTTGTCCCTCCTAGTGGCCTTTATACTTAAGGAGTGCTTGCTCCTGACCCTGAGGCAGGCAGGGGAAGAAGTAAAGAAACCTCCAAGGGGACCACAGCCTTTGGATGATGGAGATGGCGAGAGGATATGGGAACATCAGGGAGCTCCAGGTCCTTCATGGTTTCTCAGCCGTCTTCCAGGCCAACCAGCCCTAGCTAGGTATCTTATCCTGTAGAAAGAGAATAATGCTTGCTCTGAGCCCAAGGATAATGGGAAGTGGGCAGAGGGTGGAGCAGAAACTGCTAATGCATTTTCGCCAGCATCTCTGGTTTCTCCAATATCCAGCCAGACTATTAGCAGTTCCCTAAGGATAGCCTTGCTCTTCACGTCATCTCCCATTTCCTATAAATGGGAAGTGGCTAGGGAGTAGGGGTGTGTGTGTGTGTGTGTGTGTGTGTGTGTGTGTGTGTGTGTGTGTGGTAGGGGAGGGGGAGGGAAGGAAGGGAAAGGGACGTGGTGGTTTTCCTACCACTTAGTGGGGAACTGAGACACACAGAAGCCATTACTTGTCCAGAATGAACCAGCCTTGTGAGTAGTATTATGGGTGTTGGGACTTTAAGGCTCTGAGGTCATAGGCCAGGCTAAATGAGGGATTGTGCCTTTGCCTTGTTTCTGGAGCCCAGAGACTCCGTGTGTGTGTGTGTGTGTGTGTGTGTGTGTGTCTGTGTGTGTGTCTGTGTGTGTGTCTGTGTGTGTACTGGGTGGGGATAATGATTGAACTGAGGGATTGCCTCAGTTTATCTGAAAATGATACCTGTCTCTTGAATGTCATAAGGATTGAATGAGTGAATACATTAAAATCATTTAGAACTGTGCCTGGCACAGTCAGTAATAGTTAACTATTATTATTTTTACATGAGGAGGCTACACCAGCAGAAAAAGGGGGAGGAAGCCTTTTCACAGCCAAGGGCCTTATAGCACCCTGTGCTGGGCAGGGACTGGAGAGTGCATCCACCTGGCTTGGTAAAGAAGGGTCACTTGTGCTGGGGAGCTGTGACCTGGCACTTACCCAGGTGGCCAGGCTGCTAGGTGGGTCCAGATCTCACACCATGCTGTTTTCTCACAAGGCATAAGGCATGTAAGCCTCTGGCAAAAAATCAGAGGGGAGAGGGGGCCTCCTACTCTTCTGAGGTGGACAACTCCCTCCTGCTGCCCGTGCTCTTTCCCCAAGCCTGGAAAATACCACCATTCACTCTCTCGGGCTCTGTAATTTTCCACCTGACCTAGAATTCCCCCTGACTCCTGCCCTTTTATCTGGGGCAGTAGAGACACCAGCCCAGGGACCCAGGACTCCACCCTCGTCTCTGTTGGCCACAAATGGGTATGCCAAAGGCTTCAGAAAGCCACTGGGGCCTTGGAGGGTCACCTGCTGGAGGGGCGGGTGCTCCCAGTTTTCAAGTTAAACTTGTTTAGTGATTCAGAAAGCAGATTCTTGATTTTTCTCTGCTCTCTCTGGCACCCACTCTGCCTTCCCCAGGCCACCAGGGCTCCATTGTTCCCTCTCTTCTCTAGTTCCCTTTCTTCTCTGCCTCCCAGCTGGAGGTGCCCTTAGAGATTCTCTGGTTAATTCTTTTTACGGAGGAGGCCCAGAATATGGAAGGGACTTGCTCCACTTCACATTTGGCAGGTGGCAAGGCCAGCATTGGAACCCAGTGCCCCAATCCCCAGTCCAGAGCCACAGCCAACTACGTCCTTCCTTCAAAGGTATCTTCCTGTGATTTTATAGTATTCGAGTCAACACCCTAATAAAACTCCGTGGAGGAAAATGACACAATTTGGTTCCCACCCCAAGACCAGCCTGGACCTCCAGTTTTCTGCCTCCCACCTGCATTGTTCCTCTCCCCTCAAGGGCATTCTGGAAACAGGTATCTGTTGGGATCTTGTTCAACAGCTGACAAAGGGAACGTTTTACTGGCAAGTATCGCCCTCTTTTATCCATACACACCCTAAGGAGGGGAAAAAAGGAATCTGGCTTTTAACTTCGGGAAGAGGGATTGAGTTAGCTATAAGGAAGCTCTTTCTACCTTAGAGAATACCAAACAGTAGGAAGAGTAACTCGCGGAGAATGTGACATCTCCTTTCAAGGGCTGGTCCTGGATGGGTGAGGTGCTGCTCTGCCCAGGGACAGGAGGATGGCCAGAAGAGCACGTGCGAGTCATGGTGACAGACTGGCTCCGAGGTTGGGAGGTGCTCCGCGAAGTCGGGTCGCTTGTACCTAAATGTTTGGGCGGCGAGCGACGAGGGGGCGGTGCACTGCCCTGGGTAATGACAGGGCGGCCTGGGAGCCACGCGGGGGCTGCCCGTCGCGGTCGCGGCTACAAAGACAGCTTGGAGACCTCGCACTTTCTTCGCTTGGGGACCAGCCCCACCCCTCCGGACCCCCTCTGGACACCCCCCACCTCCGCCCGCCTCGCCCCGCCCCCTCCTGGCAGCCCTAGCGCGCATGCTCTCTCCCCCCGCCGAGTAACCTGGAGATTTAAAAGCCGCCGGCTGGCGCGCGCGGGGCCAAGAGGGGGTCGAGGTCGTCGGCTCCGGCCCCAGTGACAGCTGCTCGCCTCAGCCAGGTAGGAGCGCACCCCCTCTTCTCCCAGGGGACAGGGTCCCGGTGCGGGAAGAGGTAGAGAGCTGTGCGGCCGGGCCCCGCTGTGTCGAGTGCTTTGCGCCCCGCAGGCTGGGACCGCTCAGCGGCCGTTCGGGCGCCGCATCCCCGCGAGTCCCAGAGGAGATGGCCGGGCTGCGGGGCTCCGGAGTGCGGGACGCCCGCTCGGGTCCTCGCAGGGCTGCGTTTTTTCTCGGAGGGCGAGCTGAGCTGGAGGCGTCCGGGCCCCCTCGTCCCCGGCTGGTCGGCGGGTGGGCAGCGGCGGGCGGACCGGCGCTGGCTCCTGTTGCACCTCCCGCGTCGGAGTTTTCTTTGGAAAGTTGCATGTATTTTCTTCCCTTGTCTCGGCTTCACCGGAAAGGGGCAGGATGAGTCACTGCGGTGTGCACAGTCCCGGACTTGGGAGCCGGGAAAGGGGCCGGCTGCCGGGACGCCGCGGAGAAAGGTGACTGAGCTTTTTAGGATATTAGTCTTGGAGCCGGGCTCTGGGCAGGGAGCTGAGACTGGACTGCGTGCGCGTATGTTCCTCTGCCCGCTTTTCAGGGGAGGAGAAAGAGAGGCCGCGCGTTCACCTCGCCTGCCTGTCGGGCTCAGGTAGGGATGGTGAGGAGTCTGAGATCAGCAACCAGGTGTAATGAAGTGATACCTGGGCCCTCACTGCAGCCTCTCAGGGCTCTAGGCTTAGGCAGCGTCTTGGCCTGCTGGAGAAGTCCCCAGTGACCTGCAGGACCTCCAGAGTGAAGGTCAGTTCTTTCCATAGTCTCCTGTCTCCTTCAGGCGCCTGAGCCCTGTGAGTTACTCTTGCCCTTGACCTCTGAATCAGCTTGCATCTTCCGGACAGACACTCTTGACCTGCTCAGCTTTTCCCTCTCCCCAGGGCCACTCCTCTGTGCTTCCTTTTTTCTCAAGGGCCAGAGTTGGGGGTAGGAACGGGTTTAGCATGGTGGGTACCTGGTGAGGACTTGCCCTTCTGGCTGTTACGAAGACCCAATCCGATGGAGCAGGGACTAAGAATAGCCCAGCTGCTGACTTGCTGCCCTGGCGTCCACAGCTGGGCATAGTGGGTGGGCCCAGAGTGACCCTAGCTGGGCTCCTGGAACTGTTGCTCAGGGGTGAAGGTGAGGCCCTGGGGTCTTCTGGCTGCTTCTCCTGATGCACTTAGCAGATCTGCTCTCAGAGTCAGACAGTCTTGGTGTCCACTCACCTGCCCCAGGCCTGGGGAACGAGCTGGCTTATGGGGGTGTGGAAGGCAGGCCCAGGAGGTGCAGGCTGGATGGGAAGCCTGAGAAAACCCATAGAGCAACTTCTAGGGACTGAGTCGGATGATATGTGAGGTCACAGGCCCTTTAGTTGGATGGGTCCCATCCTTTCATTCCTCCCTTATCTCCTCCCCCCAGGCCTGTCGTGCAGCCAGGACTCTGTTGTTCTAAAAGTGCTCAGAAAAATGGAGCTTGAGTCAGCAGGATGAGTCTGAAGATAAAAATACAGCTGTGGATGAATGTGCAGCTGTGGACATACAGGCCCCGATTTAGTGTGTGTGGGGGGCATTTTCCTGTGTACTCATGGAGTGTGTGGTAAGCTCCCTGCCTCTCCTGAATCTCTGAGTTACCCTGAAAGAGGAGGGAAAGAAAGGGGAGGAGCTGGACAGTGATCTTCGGTGGCCCACGGAGGTCCTTCCAGCCACTGTGTAGTAGACGGATGGAGTGGTTTCCCCTTTCCCAGCCTGTCCAGGCCTCTGGGGAGAAAAGGCAGAAAGGCGGGGATGGCTGAGGACTCCAAAAGTGAAATTAAGCACCATTATCATCTAATGGCACAACATTACGGACGAAAACCCAGACTGTCAGAAAGACAGGGCTTCTGTCTTGACTGTTCGACTAGCTGTGGAAGTTAGTTAACCTGTTCTAAGCCTCAGATCCCTGGCTACAAAATGAGGATGATTATAATAATAATGATAATATCTACTCTATAGCTTCGTTATTTATAAAATAATAACTATAACAAATATGTAATTATAAAATATAAATAATTATAGCTTTATTAAATCATGCATATAGAGCAGGGGTCCCCAACCCGGGCTGCGGACCGGTACCTGTCCATGGCCTATTAGGAACCGAGCCAGGCAGCAGGGGGTGAGCGACGGGCCAGCTAGCAAAGCTTCATCTGTATTTGCAGCTGCTCCCCAGTGCTAGCATCACCGCCTCAGCTCTACCTCAGATCATCAGGCATTAGATTCTTGTAGGAGCACCGGTCTCTGATGTCGAAAGGTTGGGACCATTGATATAGAGCACTGGACTGTGTGCCTGATAGGAAATACATGCTCACTAAATGTTAGCTAGTATTAACCATAGTCACTCTATCACGTATGACTGAATGGACAGCAGCACCCGGCATGGGACTCCGTTCTTGGGTTTTGCTGTAGACCTTGTTTCTTTGGGAGCAAGATCTCCTGGACTTTGGGGAGTGAGTCAGTATGACTAGGAAAGAGGCTGAATTCTAGCACCCAGTTGTCTAGGTTTGAATCCTATTTCCTATTGCGCAAGTTACTTTACCTCTTTGTGCTTCTACTTCCTCCTCTGTAAAATGAGGCTAATGATACCTACTTCACAGTATCGGGAGGATTAAAAGAGCTAATGTAGGTAAAGCTCTGAGCATAGCAGCTGCAGGTAAAAAGAGCCTGGTAAGTGTCAACTGCTGTTATTTGGTGACAATAAAGGCAATCATTGTGGTTTACACTTAGAGACCAGAGTTTCTTAGGAAGGGAATTAGACCATATATAACTATATGTAAGCTGTGAAGGACACATATGCAGTTGAACTTGTGGTCAACTTGTGCAAAGAACACACCAGGACTGGATGTCCTGATCTCTCCCTGTCAATATTGTATGTGTCTTGTTTTTTATTTTGTCCAGTAACTTCTGCCTCGTTTACCTCCTCAAGTTAGTGGTGATGGATGTGAATCATGAAGTGATGAAGACGAAGATATATCCTGAAAGGTTAAGAGCCTTCTATGCAGAAAAGTTGTTTGTTGTGAATTTTAGAAAAACTATGATAGGGAAGGGGTGTTCTGAATTTGGGTCTAGCTCTGTACTCAGTCCCCAACCCTTGGGATCCTTTGCATTGATTTCTGGTGTCCAAAAGAAAAACCCAGTCTGGCTTTTATTTGAACATCCAGAGGCCCTGTTTGCTGGACAGCAAGGGTAGAGCCTGGACCAGTTGGTACCAGGCCCAGTGTCTCAAATGCTGATGCCACTTGACTCCCAGCAGTAGAGCTGGAGTGTGGAGCTTTGTCCAGTGTATTAAGTGTCCCTGCTCGGGGGTAGGGGCTGGTGACATAGCCATCACGAGATGGCCCTGATATCTGGCCAGAAGTTCCTGTTTAACGTTTTTCTACTGTGTGGTCTATTTTTTCCTCCATGGGAAGAAGTGGAACTGGCCCTGAATGACTCGTGGGTCCTTTTGCTTCTGATGTTGGAGATGGGCCTGTCTCACCTGTTGCCCTTGGTTTCTGTGTCTATAAAATGGAGATGATAATATTCACCCTGCAAGGTTAGGGCAAGGATTAAATGAGATAGGCATATTTAGCAAAGTGCCTGCACAGACCAGGTGCTCAACCCATGTTTGTTCCCTTCCCCTTCCATGTTAAGTCTCTGAGAAGCTGGGATGAGCCAGCGAGAAGGAGATTGGAGACTAACGCATGGTCCCATAGCCCCACAGTCTCTCAGTCACCAAATTCAGGTCAGACCGAATGCTTAGCCAGCCCGAGACAGCAGTCCTTCTTACCCCAGTGCTCTCTGTCATGCCCCCCACCTCTCTAATCTCAAGCATACTTTGAGCTGACAAATCGTGTCCGAGCTGGCAGCACCTGGCCCATCCCTAGGGATCTGGCAATCTAGCTTCCTATTCTTGGCTGTTGTCGCTGGAGCAAGCTGAGCACCCGAAAACCTCTAATGTGGCCCTGCCATGGATCCCAGGCATGCTGGTTAAATCACATTGGACAGGAACCCTCATCCAGCCTCACCTGTGAGGCCTTCTGTTGAGCAGCCTCCTTCTCGGGGCCTGGGCAGGCAATGTGCTCCCTGCTTTTCGGGAACTGCAGAGGTGATGAGTGGGGGTGGGGGACCGGGAAGGACTACAAGCCAGACCAGGGAGAGCAGGATCCATATCCAACCCTGAAGACTGCTGGACGAGTGTTGGTGAGATTAGGGAGAAAATGGGGATCCTTGACAGCTTGGGTTCCAGGCAGCCCTGCAGGAGGTGTGGGACTTGAGCTGGACAGGGCTCAAGTGAAAGGGAGGGGCAGTCCAGGGGAGGTGACTAGAGCACAGTGACTACTTTGGAAGTGAAAACGGGGCCAGTGCTGATGAATATTCCCATCTTGAGCTCAGATCTGAGGGTAAAACACAGTCCCACAATTTTGGGTCTGGTATCTTTTCCGCTACGCCTCAGTGAGGAGGGGCCAAAGGAGAGGTAGGTTGGTGTGGACATCTCAGGCCTCCGTGGCTGTGTTTTTCATACATCTACTCTTTTCTGCATAGTTTCCATCTGTTCATCTTTAAAGATTCCGCAACACGGCTACCTCCTCTAGGAAGCCCAGGAAGAACTGAACCTGCCCGCCCTGGGGACTTGGGTCTCTGCACCTGTACCACCTCACTGCCCTCTAGCGGCATTCTGTCTCTTCCGCTAATGGGGGCTGCAGTCTGTGTTCCCAGCACCTTCACAGTGGGCTGCCACGTAATTGGGGCTCAGTAAGTGTTGGATGGATGGATGGATGGATGGATGGTGCTCTTGATGGATGGTGCCTTTGCAAACGTCCTTCCAGGCAGCTGTAGGACCGCACTTGGATTTGGGGGCGCAACGCGACTCCGGCCGCTGTGCACTGCATGGTGTGAGCAAAGCACCTTCACAGTGGGCTGCCACGTAATTGGGGCTCAGTAAGTGTTGGATGGATGGATGGATGGATGGATGGTGCTCTTTGTGGGAGGTTCCTTTGCACACACGGAGGCATACCTCCTCCAAGTGCGGGCAAGCTAGGGCTCTTTTATTTAAAAAAAAAAAAAAAGATGCTCACACCTTGCTCACCACTGAGTGACTGTTTTTGAGAACACGTTTCCACAGGACTGAGTCCGGCCCAGAGCCCTCTGATGATAAATGGGGCTGGTCACTGAACCTAAGATATCAGGGCTGAAAGGTCTTTAGAAACCACTGAATTTGAGATCCTACAGGTGGGACGTGAAGAGCTGGGACCAGCACCTTGGTTTGACCGCCAGCTCTGCTCACCTGTGCGTCTGCCCAGACCCTCCATGCCCTGGCCTCTTGCTGTGTACCTCACCTCTAAGGGAGGCCAGCGCAGGGAGGGGACAAGGGTTTTCTGTGCAGATGAGGAGAGCTGCCTGGTCTGGCTGACTGGCAAAGTTTAAGTTCACTAGAAAGGAGGCCAGTTCAGGTTTCACTCTGCAGGGGCTGCAGGAAGAGAAGGGGAGAGGGAGAGGGAACTCGCCCTGGGGACTGCGCCCATCTCCCCATTCTCCCAGACTCTTCTTTCCCCACCCTGGACCAAGGAGTTTCTCTGGACCACTACCCAACTTCTTAGGGAAACATTTACTGTGGCCCAGGTAGAGAACAAATTTGATTACCAATTTCTGCCAGGAGCAGAGTCCAACTCTGGGAGGGAGTAGAGAAAAGGGCAGTTCTGCCCCCGGACGTCTTGGTTTCTCAGCTCAGTTTCAGGCGACCCCTGCCCCTTGGCACTCCGCTGTGTCTGAGCAGTGTGAAGGCAGGTGAAGGGTGGGCTCGCTGTGCTGCTGGGGGCTCTTCTCCACCTGGTTTCCCTTGTCACTCTCCGTGGAGTGATGTGACCATCCCCCCAAGCCATGTGGCCTTGTCAGTGAGCACTCAGTGGGCACCTGTCCATGGAGAGCCCCCTCTGTGGACGGGCTGGTGCGGGGTGGGTGTGAGACATACAGCTGTACCGTCATAAAGAACCTGAGACAGCATCTAGACTAGTTTTCGTTTTATAGGTGTGGAAACTGAGTCCCAGAGAAGGGAAATGGCTTGTTCAGGCTACACAGCTACAGACACTGCTGAAACTGAACTACCTGTCATGGCTCCCAGTTCAGATCCCTTTCCAGATGGTTTTCAAATGGTTTGAATTTTCCATTTATCTGAGCAACCTTGGGCATGTTAATGAATTTCTTAATTTTTATTCTGATGAAGTAGGAATATTAAATAGTACCTACTTTGTAGGATTGTACAAATGGTATGAATTACAGAGAGAGGTATGTCAGGTACCCAGCACATGCCGGATACCTCCTGGACAGTTAGGGGGTGTCAGCCACTGCAATTATGGTTATTTCCCCTGTGGATGGGAACCACCCTGTCTCATAACTTTGGGATGTTTATCCTACCCTCAGTCTCCATTCCTGGCTTCCGACACTAGGCAGGTCTGCTGCAGTGACCTCTGCTTACCTGTTGGGGCCAGCACCTGGGGAGGCATTTACATTCTTGGCATTCCTCTTGCTTCTGGGGGCCGAAAGAGGTGCTAGTGTGGGTGAGGGAGGCTCCAGGTTGAGAGGGGAATGGCAGGGAGAAGAAAGGGGTAGCTGGTCGCCCTCCGACCTCTGCTGCTCCTGCTTGGGAACGAGAAGACCCCTCTCAGGCTTCTCCACTGAAGAAGCCCAGGCAGCTGGAGGAGAGGCTGCTGGGACTTCCACATACTTTCTCTCAAACACACTGTGAAGTTTCTGGTATTGATCTAAGTTTCCTTGCCTACCAAATGGGTATATTCTTTATATCCACCTCATCGAACGGCTGGAAGATTTGAGCGCTTGAAAGAGTGCCTGGCATGTCATACATCTCAGTGTTAACTGCTATCATTAATTGCAGATGAGGAAACTGAGGCTCAGGGAGGTCAGTTAACAAGGTCACACGGTCGTAATAGGTGTAATAGGCCAGGCTGATTGCCGAAAGTAGACCTCTCTTACGGATGCTCCAGGTCCAGTGGCCTGTGGCCCCTGGGAAAGAAGAGAGCTCCAGGTCTAAGAGTACCAGTTGTCTTGGCTTGAAGTACTTGGTCAAGGTGACCCAGTGTGACCCTGGGTCGCAGCTGTTCTCAGAAAGGAAGTCTGATTGGGAGGGCCATTGCCTGGAGTCAGCTGTATGTCTGTGTTGACCGTCACTATGGGATTGCCAGGTGCCCCTTGGGAGGGGTGCCTCACCTCAGCTTAGGCTGCCGGGGACTGACTGGCCAAGGTGAGGGTCAGGCCTGTCACTGGGTTGGAGAGGGGAGAGGTCGGAGCGGCTCAGGGCACTGCCTGTCGTCCTCTCCCCTCCCGCTCCCAGCCTCCTCCAGCATTTGTTTCCTTTCTGAAGCTGGGGTAGTGGAGGGGGGCTCTCAGACTGGGCCACAAAAGCAACTTTCCTCCACGCCACTGCCACCTGTTGGGTCTTGGCACATTGGGGGTGAGTGGGGGGAGGGAGCAGTTGCCCTTTTCCCAGTGTCTGCGGTGTGCCCCCTCAGGCCCCCCAAGGCCTGGGATTCTCTTTGCTGCCCAATGTGACAGGGGCTCAGGAGCTGGAGGGGGTGGGGGGCCCGCAGCAGCTGGAAGGGAATTGAGTGGGAAGGGGCCGGCGCTGGCAGCCGGGAGAGAGTTTGATGGATTACTCTGCAGGCCGAGAGGTTTCTCCCTAATCCCCTTTTGTGTCCTGGCCTGCAGCCCCCTCACTCTCTCTGACAAGCTGCTAAGCAGAAGGCTTCCAGTCCTGGTGAAGAAAAGGCAGCGCAGCAGGCGAACTCTAAATCCCTGGCCTCTGGGCCCTGGGGGAGGCGGGTGGGGGGAGAGGCGGGGAGGCAGGGGCGGAGGAGCGTTTGGGGAGGGGAGAGATGCCCTTTTAGGGAGGGGAGAGGGTGGATCTTCCTCCTTTCTTAGAGTCCCTTGAGGTGCAGAGGTTGCATTCTGAGGGATGTTTTCTGGTGTCTGTGGGACCCCTCCAAAGTCGTGGGCCTCGGCTATTTGTGTAAATCACTACTTTTTTTATAGGGTGGGATCGGGGAAAGCAGACCCTTGCTTCTTTGGAAGTATTTGAGCCCATAAAATCAAAGACTAAATGTGGGATGGAAGGGACAAAGCCACGTACGGTCTAATCCCGTGCCCCCTTCCTCCCAGCGGCCCAGCTAGGAATTCCCACAGCCTCGAATCCCTGACAAGGGAGTCTGTAACGTTGGAGGGCTCATTGCCTCACAGAGATGTTCGTTTGCAGGTCTCCTGGCTGGCCAGCACAGCTTCTTTCTGGGGTGTCCCAGGGTCGCTTGTGGAGCTGCCATGAGGGTGGAGCTGATTTGGGGAGTGCAGTATGCTGGATTTTACTAGGTAAGGCCAAGGATATAGTCCCCAGGAACAGAGGCAGGTGGGGAGGTGACAGGGAGGCTGCGCAGGTGAACTCTCAGACCTCTGTCCCCAACTAGAGGGCCTGGGAGAGCTCGACTGGGAGAACCAGATTCTGGGGTCCAGCGCTGTGTGGAGGAATGGGGGTCCTTCCTACCTTGAAGTCTTGCAGCCTCTACCTGCGTTTGCTCCCCACCCTCGGTCCTGGCCTGGGGCAAGACAGCCACGGGTAGGGTGTGTATTGGGGCGATTGGCCTGGAGTCACCCCACCCCTTTCTGCCGCTGAGTCATTACCCCTTTGGCTAGCCTACCCCGGCCCCAGTTTCCTCCTCTGCGGGGAGGGGCTGCCCAGCTGGGGAGGGCCGAGGAGCCGCTCCCCTGGAGCTGTGAGAAAGCAGCGCTGTCTTTGTGAGTATGGAGGGAGGCCGGCAGGGTCTCGGGCTCCGCGGGGTCAGGGTGGGGGCTGCGGCCGTTTGAAGTGCCTGGGCGGGGTGCGAGGAGCTGGCCCGCATAAAGAGGCCATAGAATTGCAGCCTGACACCGGCCTGCGGCGGGGCTGCCCCAGCCCCGGCTCCCTCTGGCCTCTGTCTGTCCGCGGAGGGGACTCTGCTCCCCCCGGCTCCACCTCAGCCAGGCGGGGTGGCAGGAGCCCCTTTGAAAGCCCTCAAAGGCCCCTTTATATGTCCCCCTGCCCCTCCTTCCCTGTGCAGGGAGCTGCGGGAGTGGGCTTCGTGGCCTTTCCTCTCAGCCTCTCTACTCTGTCTTCTAAATTTTGGAGAAAGTTCAGGCCAAGTTTGTTCCTGCTGCTCAGTGTAATTTCCCCATAATTTCCTCATACTCTCTGAAGTAGCTTACGTCTGAGCCCACCGCCTGCTCTGGGGGTGCCACGTAGGTCTCCCGGTACCTGGAACTGGCCAGGTAGAATGCAGGTTCATTGGTCCTGCCAGGGCCCCTGGCTCTCTGGGCTGGGGTTCTGCCCCCTCACGGGTGAGGTGACTGGGGTGGAACTCCAGGAAGGTTCCCAGAGGTCTTGGGTTTCCTCCAGTCATCAGGGGGCCCAGCGAAGAGGAGAGATAATCGGAACTTGAGAGGGTCTTGTCCTAGAAGGCTGCTGTTCCCTTCCCTGGAGGTCAGGCCAGACTCCCCCTTTCTGTACCTCCACTTCCCTGCTCTTCCCACCCTCTCCCCACCAGGTGAGCTCAGAGGCTGGCTCTTTGGGTTGATCTTCTGTTTGCCAGACAGGCAGAGTGCTCCAGGAGCCGTGGTCAGGAGGATGAGTCAGAAGCATCTCTGAGACTGGAGGGTACAGGGGAGAACTGGATCTTGTCTTGTTGCCTGTAACCCTGAGGAGGACAGGGGAGCTCCCCAAACAGGGGACCCAGCCGTGATCCGTCACTTCCGAGTTTTGATGAGAAGTGCGTCCTGGGGCTGCAGGGAGAAGTGTAGCCGGGAAAGCGATGCTGAGCCGCTGCTTGTCCCCACCGCCGCCTCTCTGAGCCGGGAAGCCGGGCAGGGCCTGGGTTCCTCTGTGCCCCAGAGAAGAAGGCCTGGAGGGATGGCTGGTGACTGGAGTTAGTGCTGTGGGCATCCTCTGTCATTTCCTCCACCCTGAGCACCCTGCAGTGGGGATGAAGAGGGGGAAACTGGGGCACTGAGGAAGATCTTCAGAGAAGAAAGGGGGCTTTGGAAGGGAGAGTATTCTTAAGCGCTTGGAATTCCTCAAGCAATTCTGGGCTGGAAAGAGTAAAGCCTGGGGATTGGGGGGGTGGTGGTGAGAATGCCCTGGACCCCTGGACACAGTAGAAATCAAAAGGGGGAGGACGGGCTCAGCAACCTAAGAACCAAGCGGGCAGAGCAGGGCTTGAAGCCAGCCCACTTCCTACCCTACTGTGTTCAATGAATTCCTCACCTGGTCCTCCCCCTGGTTGGTTACCTGGTAAAAAGCCTCTGGGGGGCAGAGGGCGGCACTGGGGAGGGAGCCCCAGCTGATGGGACTATCTGGGTTGTAGGAAGATGAGGGGAGATTCCTCTCTTTACCCCTTTTTGTCTTTCTCCCTTATGGGCTAAGGAGCTGGACGAAGGGAGGATAGAGGCAGGTGAGGTGGTTAATAGTTGCTGGAAAGATGCAATTTATTTTAAACGGACCAACCAGGACTTGGGAATGGGGGCTGGCTGCGGGTGAGGTTGGGTCTAATGGTCTGTGTTTGCTCAGTGAAGACCTGGTCCTTAAAATCCCAGAGCAGGTGAGGGTCCAGGGCCTGCCCAGGCTGAGGGCAGGGAGTGGAATGGGCTGGAAGCCTTTTGAACCAGAACCCCTCCCTCCAGGCTGGAAAGCACCACCCATCTCCTGTTTTCCTTCTGGGGGTGCTGTGGCAATGCTGCCACATGAGGGGCTTGGCTCAAGCTGAACTCGCAAGCACCCAGCTAAGACTAATGTCTGGTACTCCCTCCCCTCCTTGTGAGGTCACTTGGGCCAGTGTTTTACACTTGTCCCCATGCCATCCCCATGAGAGTCTGCGCCCCTTCCCAAAGTGGGTAGACTAGCTCTAAGTGGAACTTCGGGGAGGAGGCTGCTGGTTGCTCAGCCTTATCTGAAGCCCCTTCCTTCCTGGTCGACTAGTTGCAAAATCCCAGAAGGCAGTTACGGGATGGTCACCTCTTACCCAGGATCGATGGCTGTCTGATCTCTCTGTGGCACAGCTCAGAGGGCACCTGCAGCACGTTTTATAACACGCAAGGCCCTGTGGGGTTTAGTGTCACTTGAAAAGATAAACAAGGTTGAAGTTCTAAATTACGAGATGCTGACAGTGGAAGAGGGAATGAGTGGGGGCTGAGGGTGCGCAGGTGCGGGAGGAGACTGGGGCCTCTGCCACCGTGCGCCTGGCACAGGGGTGATGCCCTGTACAGAGGTTACGGGTTGAGCTGGGAGGCGGGGAAGGTACTCCGACTCCAGCACACCTAGCCCAAAGCTCTGCTTTGGCATGGATGACCGGTTAGGGGACTCTGCTTTGGCATGGATGACCGGTTAGGGGACTCTTCTTGCCCTTTCTCACTGAGACCCCCCACCCCCATTCCTCCTCTTCATGGTTGACTTAATCTTTCCCCTTTTCTAAACAGGGCATACTGCAGTGGGTGCCCTTGTCAGGAAGTAAGACCGGGAAGCCAGCTCTCCCCTGGGGCTGGGGGCCCAGGGTGGGAGCTTGCCCAGTGGGATCTGCACAGGAGGCAGGCTTAGAAGGAAGGGCTGTGGGGACTTCTCTGCTGAAAATGGAGCTGTTGAGGGAGCAGAGAAAGGCTGCCCGGGAAGCAGTGGGGCACCCTGCCAGCCCGGTGGTCACAGCGTCATGGCAGTTGCCGGCAGTTGGTGCGGTTTCACGCCCCTGTGAGGCTGGGACTTGGGAACGACTGTGGCCCTACCATCCCGTGACAGTTGTGCAGCACACGTGGGAATGTTTCTTCCCCATGAACACTGAGCGCGTGGGGGTGGGGGGTGGAGTGGGAAAAAAAAGGGGGGGTGGGGGCGGGGCTAAGGGAGCCGGTTTCAGGCCCAGGTTCATCCAGGGGAGCGCTCTTTCTGTGGTGTCTATGAGAGTTTCAAACCCAACCCAACAAACCACAGCCTCTCCTCTTTTCCCCCTTGGCCTTGGCCTTGGGGGTGGGTGTTGTAGTGCAATGTGGCTCATGGCCAGGCCACCCGGAATAGGAAGTGCTACTCTTAACAAAGGAGAATTGAGCAGCCCAGCTGAGAAATAGAGGGAGAAAAGCAAGCAAACCTGGCCTGACAGATGGTCTCCAGGGTACCTTGATAACAGGGCCGAGGGATCTGAGAATTTAGTTGGTTTGATTTTTTTCTATACTAGCAGGTGAGGACCATTGCAAAGATATTCCAAGACACAGAATAACCAACATCTGTTTGGCTCTAGAGTGTGCTGAGGTTTAAAAATCGTATTTACCTTATTAATTATGTCAGCCTTAGGCTAATATTAACATATATTTCCTGACTGAGCAGGAGGGGGTGGCAGGGCCACACCATCAGCCTGGGAGTGAACAAGATTAGGAGAATTCAGAGCCGATCTTAGACCCGGTTCCCAGGACTTAACACTCAGTGTGTTGGATTGTCCCTGCCTTTTTAGGATCTGAGTGCTATATCCCCCACCGAGGCACCCCATGGCAACAGGCATTTAGCATGGGCTGAGAAGCTGGACTTGCACGGAAGGCTGGCAGAAATGGCCTCCTGGCTGGGTCCTAGGCAGTTGGCGGCAGCAAAGAGAAGTGGCCTGAGCATCTGGAGCAGGGCTGGGACGAAACAGCGCTGGAGTGAGTGACCAGGCCGGAGCCCTACCTGCCTGACCCACCATGGTCCAGAGGCTGTGGGTGAGCCGCCTGCTGCGGCATCGGAAGTCCCAGCTCCTACTGGTGAACCTGATGACCTTCGGCTTGGAGGTGTGCCTGGCCGCAGGTATCACCTACGTGCCACCCCTGCTGCTGGAGGTGGGGGTTGAAGAGAAGTTCATGACCATGGTGCTGGGTGAGTCACCACATCCTCCTGCCCTCCTGTTCCAGGTACATGCTGCCTAGAAGTAGAGCAACCGTGTCTCTGCCCAAAGAGCTGCTCGGAGGGAGGGGCGGCTGTCTGCTGGGTAGGCATGGCTGGGGACAGGGGCGACCCTGGGCTGAGGGGGCCCAAGAGGAAGAACAGAGTACAGGGACATGCCCTGGTCGCCGCGACAGCCCTGACTCCTGCACAACGACTGGCCCGGAGGCAACAGTGGAGCAATGCCCTTTCCGCTTTGTCTAGCTCTTTATAGTTTATGTCATTTAATGCTAGTAACAAGCCTTCGAGCTTATCCGGTCCACAGAGGAGATCTGTAAGAGGCCAAGTGACTTTGCTAGGCTGTACGGCTAGCTGCTGGTCAGTAAGATCGGTCTCCCAGCCAGGGCTCTTTCTTACCCATGGGTAAGTGGTCACCATCGTGTGACTCCAGGAAGAGGGGCCTCTGTCTGGGTTACAGGCTCTGGAGTCAGACGGCCTGCTGAAGCTCTGCCTCCCACCCTCCCTAGCTCTGTGCTTGGACAAATTTATCACTTAACAGCTATTCTATGCCTCTTTTCCCATCTTAAAACGGGGCATTAGTGATCCTAGCTATGAGGAATAACTTAGAGTCCCTGTGAAGAACTCAGCACGGTGTCCAGTCAGGACTGGTCCTCCCTGTGATAATATCATGGCCATTTCTATCCTTCTCAAGGTCAGTCCCCTCTCCCCTACCCCTCAAGAGCCTCAGCCTCTGGCTCATACTACTTGCCCTTCTTGCAGGCATCGGTCCAGTGCTGGGCTTGGTCTCGGTCCCACTCCTAGGCTCAGCCAGTGACCACTGGCGTGGGCGCTATGGTCGCCGGAGGCCCTTCATCTGGACCCTGTCCCTGGGCGTCCTTCTGAGCCTCTTGCTCATCCCGAGGGCTGGCTGGCTTGCCGGTCTGCTGTGCCCGGACGCCAGGCCCCTGGAGTTGGCACTGCTGATCCTGGGCGTGGGGCTGCTGGACTTCTGTGGCCAGGTGTGCTTCACTCCACTGGAAGCCCTGCTCTCTGACCTCTTCCGGGACCCAGACCACTGTCGCCAGGCCTTCTCCGTGTATGCCTTCATGATCAGCCTCGGGGGCTGCCTGGGCTACCTCCTGCCTGCCATCAACTGGGATGCCAGCGCCCTGGCCCCCTACCTGGGCACCCAGGAAGAGTGCCTCTTTGGCCTGCTCACTCTCATCTTCCTCACTTGTGTGGCAGCCACGCTCTTTGTGACTGAAGAGGCCGCGCTGGGCCCAGCCGAGCCAGCAGAAGGGCTCTCGGCCGCCTCTGGGCCACCCCGCTGCTGCCCAGGCCGTGCTCGCCTGGCCTTCTGGAACCTGGCCGCCCTGTTTCCCCGGCTGCACCAGCTCTGCTGCCGCGTGCCACGCACCCTGCGCCGCCTCTTCGTGGCTGAGCTGTGCAGCTGGACGGCGTTCATGACCTTCACACTGTTTTACACGGACTTTGTGGGCGAGGGGCTGTACCAGGGGCTGCCCAGGGCTGAACCAGGCACCGAGGCCCGGAGACGCTACGATGAAGGTAAGGCCCGGTGGCGGGGGGCTATTGTGGGAGCTCCCTCCAGGGGAGGCTCAGGCACAGGGAGATGCCCACCCCCTGTGCCTAGGCCGGTAGCTGTGCATCTCCGCACCCCCGTTTTCCCATCAGGAAAATGGGCCCATCTGCGCGTGTGGCCCCTAATCTAAGGTCCCCATTGCATTGGGCTCCTCCTCCCTCCCTGTCTGACCTCCTCTTTCCCCGCCTCTCTGTCCAGGGGTCCGGATGGGCAGCCTGGGGCTGTTTCTGCAGTGTGCCATCTCCCTGCTCTTCTCTCTGGTCATGGACCGGCTCGTGCAGAGATTCAGCACACGGGCAGTCTACCTGGCCAGTGTGGTGGCTTTCCCGGTGGCTGCTGGCGCCACGTGCCTGTCCCACAGCATGGCTGTGGTGACCGCTTCAGCCGCCCTCACCGGGTTCACCTTCTCTGCCCTGCAGATCCTGCCTTACACGCTAGCCTCCCTCTACCACCGAGAGAAGCAGGTACTCGTGCTGGATGCTACACTGAACGATGCTGGTGTGGGGGTTGGAGTGGGGCTTGCCAGCCCAGACCTGGCATCAGGCAAGAGAAGCTGGGGAAGGGCATTCTTTGATCAGAGAGGAAGCCCATGTAGCCCCGGGGTCAGAGACGTGGGCTGCGGAAGGAGGGTGTAGATTATACTCTGGGAATGACTTCCTGGTGTCAGGACTGTAAAGCACTTGAGTGGATGATTACAGGAAACATGAAATCCTTCTCTGGGAATCCTGAAGAATCAGGCTAACAGAAGCCCTCAGTCTGGGGTGGGCTGTTCCCTGCAGAGGCAGGGGGCTGGATCGGATGACCTCTGGGGCCTAGCTTCAGAAGGTGGTGAGTAGGAATGGCCTGATGCTGGCAACACCTCTCCTTATTCAGGGAGAGGCAGGGAGAAGCGTTGTCGCTGACCCGTGCCTGCTTTGGTCTCCGAGATGGAAAAGGCTCCTTAGTGTCTCCTCTACTGGTTTATCTTCCTTTTCTGTCTAATTCTCTCTTTTTAAAAATTTTTATATTATTTTTTTCAATTATAGCCGACATACAATATTAGTTTCTGGTGTACAACACAGTGATTAGACATTTATATGACTTATGAAGTGATCACTCCGATAAATTCAATTCTCCTTTGCCTCCGTCCCCTTCCCCTACCCCCACGGCAGATCTCTGCGTCTGACGCTCCTGACACTGCTCACCTGGGCACTGTGTAAGTCGGGGGGCCTCACACTGACCAGCCCCTCCGGGGCTCCCTCCTCAGGGAAGCCTCCTGACCTAGGCTGTGTGATCACTTCTGTCCACTGGCCTCACTGAGCTGCAGCCCTGGGTGCAGAGCGCTGCCCAGACAGGCAAGAAGTTGGGTTGTCCTGAGGGGCGAGGCAGGCCCGCCCTCAGCCTCCA